TTGGAGCTGCTGGTTTGCCAAGAGACCCCGCGCCCCTGAGCCTCCCGAGCACCTCCCCTGCCTCAGGGTCCTGCCCAGAGCCTGGGCTGGATGTGCTGGGCAAGGTGTAAGTGTCACAAGAAAGGATCTTGGCTTCAAATACAGCATTTAATTGGGCAAGGTGACACGTTCCCTGTTTCATTATCAATGTCAGAGATGTGACCAGCCTTAATGCTGAAAGTGTTTTTTTAAAAAATTCCGTTAACATAAGCTATAGAGAGATGTCATCTTGTCAATGTTTTGGACCAAGTGGAGCATTCTGTAGACTCTACAGAAGGGGAAGTAAGAATACAAATCACAGAATGAATTGCCACATCAGCGATGTAAACACCTGTAGTTGCATTGCATTTGTATGCTTTTTGTTCTGACTAGTTTTTTTATGCTTCCTTGCAATTGGCTCTGTTTTTCTAAAATTTTTAGCAGCATTTGATTTCTCGTCATGTGGATACATCCATATGCTTGCCAAAGCCTGCTGTCATTCTTCATGCCATGCACTGTTGGGTGATTACACCAAGCCCATTTATTTTGTTGGCCCTGGCTTCTGCTCTTCAATTGACTTTGACTTCAGACAAACTCTACATATCTCCTTTTAGAAATACAAATAGCATAGTTTTAGGTGTCTAATATGCATAACAGCCACAATAGGTTTCCTTGCCAAAATGATTTGCATCTAAGAAGTACTAGGTGGTTTTCTTAGTCTATTTGATGCTAGAACAAGTAAACACTTACTATACTTTTCTCAGTTTACTATCAGCAAACCAGTCAAAACCTTGATACCTTGATACCTGTTTTTTTGTTAACTGTGAGATCAGCAATCCAGCCCATTCACTACTTCTTTGGAAAGGAAGTGGGGAAAAAAGCATGGAATGTGTGTTCTCCACCCCTCTTGTTTAAAACAAAACAACAAAAGGCATAAGGTCTCAGCACAATGACAGTAGGCAATTCTAATTTCCTCTTCTTTTTGGAATTATGGAACATAGGGTAGAAGAAGCAGTAACTGGAAACCAGTAAACAAACATGGAGAAAAGGCAGAAGAAAGGAAAGCAGAGAAAGGACCACTCAAAAATAGGCTAAGGCAAGATGAAAGAACTGACATTTGTGGTGGTGAGTGGCAAACATCTTTCAAGTGGGAGGCATTCAGTGGCTGCTTGGGACGTGTAAGGGCTGGAGAGCAGCACAGTGCTCAAGGAAAGGCTGCAGGCAACTTTGGTTGCTCTGTGTTTGGGAAGATGCAGCCACTCCCACTCGCTGTCTCCACTCCTGTACCTGTGGGACACCTGATTAGAGCTGAGGTGCAGCAGCAAAGAGCAGGTTACCCACAGCTGCAGTGGATGCAGTGGAACAAAGAAAGTGCTATTAAGACAGAAGTGCTCTGTAGTACTGAGAGCTCAGGCAAAAGAGTTGAAGGATGTATTTTAAAAGGCTACTTATCTTTCCACCTAAAACAAACACTGATTATTTTAATGAGCCTCTTCTGAAAATGGTCTTCAAACAAAGAATATTAAACCAAAGAAAATATTATACTTCAGAAAACTCTTCTTAACCAAGCTGTCACAATTACTGCCTCTCACTTCCTTCCTATTCAGCAGTTCTTGATTCTGTTCCCACATTCACAATATTTAAGATGACATGAAAGCTGTGGGCTCTTGCATTCAACCTAAGGTGTGACAGCCAGAGGAATCTGCAGACGGTGGTTCAGATCCTACTTGAGCTAAATTTTCCTTCAGTGGTTCCAAGGCAGGGCCTTCAAATATACAGGAAGTCAGGTGAATGTAATTAGACCCAACAAATACATCTGAGTATATAAATCAGTATATATCAAAGAAATAAGTCAGCATAAAGTTCTTGATTTTATCCCATAGTAAAGAATTACTAAAATAGGAAATAGTTATGGTAAACTTTATGTAAAAACCAGTCCAAACTCATTATAGGTGCTGATTAGACAACTGGACTTCTACTTTCAGCAATTCTTTGGAAGAAACATAAAATTTTTGCATGAATAGCATGACTGATCCATCTCCAATTGCAAGAGGAAAGTTTAATTTGGAACGTGAGAGGCAGGATGTTCCTTTTGCTTGGTATGTTTGGATTTCTCTTCCAGAAGCCAAACTAGGTGTTTCCTTAGATTCTATTGCTGTTTGTGGGATACCTTCAAGACCCTAAAAAGTGATTTTGCCCTTAGCAGCACGTATTTCGCTTAGTTTGGGCACTGATTTCTTGTGAGAGCTCATTGAAAAAAAGAACCAAAACCTCAAATGTTTTTTGTTTTTTAATTATTTCCCCCAAAGTATTGTCATGTTTGTTCCAGTGATGAGAAGTTCTGTATGACTCACACTGTTTGTAAAGGAAAGCAGGTTGTATCCACTCAGCTACTAAGTGGCACCCACATAATGGGTGTGTTAAACCAGAGGATTAAGGCCAGTTGTGCTTTATCAGTTTTCTAGGATGAAGGGGCAATTGTCACTGTCCCATTGTGTGTGGTGCTGCAGAGCTCATAAAGCTGGTGCTGCCTTCAGCTGCTCTCAGTGGGGCTGAGGAAGAAGATGAGGCCATAAAAATAAAATGTAAATTATTGCAACAAGTGTTGCATTGGTAAGTTCTGAAAAAGGGCTGTAGTAGAGGGGTATTTTAGTTTCAGACCTCTGCAGGATTTTAAGCATTTAGGGCAAAGACATGTTTATGTAATATCCTCCATTATTCCTTCATTAGCTTTGGCTCTTACTACTCTGCCTCCTTCCCACAGAAGCCTCTGTCCCAACTACCTCCTCCCAGCCACCAAATAAGTTTATTTTTCCAATGTAGTGGCTGAGAGGGCCAACTTTAACCACAGATTTGCTGTTATTGTGGTCATTTGTAATAACCAAAGCCAATCCCAAGCATGCTGTTGCTGAAAATTAATTTTCTATTAACTTAATTGTAAATTCTTGAGACTGAGGAGGTGGGGGATGGATCTTTCCATGCAATGGAGCTGGAAGTGGTACAGCCATAACACCATGATCATGATTTTTTCAACCATCAGTTGCACCCAGAACATGTGTGACACTGTATTCTTTTAGAATCCAGTAAATATCCTTTCTAAAGGAACTCCAGGCATGAACACAGACACACACTGCATGAAATAAAAATGGTTTCTTGTATTTTTGTGAAATGTTGGTGCTGTTGGGTAGTACTTTACACATTTCTCATCTGTTTCTCATTTTCTTGCTACTATGTACCCTGATGTTGTGATTTCAGGTGCAAAATATCTTGGTTTTATTTTTTTTAGCAGTATATGGTAATTAGCTTAATTTCTGCTTTTTAGTTCAATTATAGGTATAAAGTAATGGAGAAGCTGCATTACTGATTTGTAAAGCAAGCTAAGGCATTTTAAATGTAAAATTCCATATTAGAATACAATCAAGCCCAAAATGATAACTTGAAAATGTAACAAACTAACTAAATACATTAGAACCATTTCCTTTTTTTAAAAAAAATGCAGTTTTAGCTTTGTAGCTTGGTTTTTTCACTGTTTGTAGTAGAGAAAAAGCTTTTCTCATGCTGAACACTGCAATTGGTGACAGCCCAGCACAGCAGTGGAAATGCAGCAATGGAGATGGTCCCGGTCTTCTGCTGCCCTTACAAATTCTTGTCTCCTCATCTCACATGGAAAATAGCTTCATAGTGGCAGCTATTTCTGCAAGGGACAGCTAATGAAGGCACGGGGAAATTCTGTAGAAAAATAATGTTCTTTGCAGTCTTTCATCTGGAAACTCATTCCAGCAGGGCTCTGTGCAACACCAGAGTGCATCCTCTCCTCTCCTCTCCTCTCCAGCCCCCTGTCAGGTCACCTTATAAAAATATTTTACTGTAGTTCTTTAAGCTTAAAATGCAGTTGTCTGTTCAGATTTGTTGTTTCATTATGGAGTGTGTCAGATAATCCCTCTTGCTTTAACAAGATAAAAAATAAAAAAGAAAAAAAAAGGTATTTTAAACTAGTCCAAAGGTATGGTCATATATTATATGGATCATGGGTTTAAGTGTACTCCATTTTGGTTTCCACCATGAACATCTAATTCCTGTAACAGTGTTGTATGTTTATTTAAAGTATAAATATATATAAATTAAATGTCAGATTTTTGCATTAATTAAGATTTTTTAAAATTTGAATATGAACTTTGAGTACTTTATTTAAAAAATATTAAAAATACTTTTCCTCAAGTGTTAAGTTTCAGAATTCAAGACTATATTTGTCACATTTAAGTTTAAAATATGTAGCTATCATTGTTTTCTGATATTGAATGTAAATATTTGTAAAAAGAAATTCTTTTGTATATTTTTGTGAAAATGTAGTTCCCCAAAATATAAAAAAAAAGATTTAATAAAAAAGTGCATTTATGTTACTGTTCAACACTTTGCCAATTTAAATATCACTTAACTGTGTTTATGGGCATATATGTGCATTATTTTTTTGTCATATAAGTCACAGGAACCTTCTTGAAGGAGAAAACCACGGTGTGCTCAGAAGGAAAAAATAATTCCTTAGAAATTCAGTGGTACTTTCTTTCTTCTGGATATAAATGGCAACATCTCAGAGTATCTATTTTCAAGTGAAGCGGCAATTCATAGGCTTTTTAAGTGGAGAACATTATCAGTAATTCTTTAATTGTTTTGCCTTATGAAGCTTCTTGTTTCTCTTGTCTTTTTGTCCCCATTTTAGAAAGCAGGACTGTGGCAACCACTGCACTGGAACAAAACCCAAAAGACAAAGCATATGCTTTGTGCCTGTGCTGGGGTGGAGAGCTTAGTCCCTGGGTGCTGGGACAGCAGTGCAGCCAAGGGCACTGTACCAAACACTTGGACAAAAAGTAGTTCCAGTATGATCCCAACACGGGAATAAGCTTTCTCAGTGCTTCTGCTAACATACTTTATTCTTCAACACACCAACCCTTAAACAAGGAACATTACCCAAACAGAACACAAAGTGTGCTTTGAAGGTTTTTTAATGGATTTTAAAGTAAAACTTTTCTTACACAGATGTTTTTTTCTTACAGTGTAAAAAAAATGTAAAATTGTCCAAACTTACAAACTTGGAAAATTAGAGACATTTCAAGTATGCAATTAACCTCCTTTTGTGAAAACAATGTATATTCAAAGTCCAAAATGTATGGGTCTTTCCTAGCATCCTGTGTCCTGGTGGTCAATCCTCCTGTTCTCTACTGTCCAGAGTAGACAAAGCTCAGTCCAGGTTGTATCATATTCATTCACTGAGGAGGAAGAAAAAAAACACTTCCATAAGGAACAATTCTACCCCTCTGTAAAGATGATTTGAGAACTGCTCTGTGCCCTAGCCCTGGAAAACCTTTCCAGAAGGGATTGGATCATTAAATCACATGAGCCTTAAGGCAGGCCCATAGCTGCAGCTTTGGGAAGTCTGCTACTGGTTTATGAAATCATGGGCAGATAACAGGAAGGAACTGCTCTGCCAGAAACAATCAAAGAAAACAGCTGAACTGATTGTGGAAAAGACAGCTTAGACACAAGATGAAATGATGGTAAAAGGACTTTCAGTTTTATTCAAATAGAACTCAGAAAACACCACCTGTCCAGGTCAGGATTCCAGTGACTGCTCTATGTAAGCTGCAGGGCAGTTTTTTATCAGGCTTGCATCACATTAGTTAATGTTTATACAACTACTACCAAACAACAACACAGACTTATCTTTAAAAGAGAGCTGCCCATAAGGGGAATTTTTCTTCACACATCTTTGTTGTTCCTCACACACACATTACCTCTGCAAGTAAAACTACATTAGTAATGTCACAAGATACCTTTTATATTTCTTGGTTAGGTTCAGAGTATTTCTCACCTGGCTTGAGTTCGAGTCCATTTCAAGGCATGGCGTGGAGGTACAGCAACAGTGGGATGGTAGAAAGTGCAGTCTGGTCTTGTACACTGTGTATTAAACCTACAATGCTAAAACCAGAAGTATTTCAGAAGAGGCTCCCCAGTGCTGGCTGCCTGAACTGAACATGCTGAGCAGCACTGTGATGCTGGTATTGCTGTGTGACACATCTCACCTGCAACTGAGCCAACACCCACCTCCACCAGTGCAACCAGCTCAACCTAGCGACAAAAAATCCTTTTTAAAAAGTACCAACTATGAATTTCATACTCCAAAACTGCCACTGCACTGACTGGTGAAAATTCCTTTGCTTCCAAGAGTTTACAGAGTTCAGCTTGAATTGATCTGTGTACAAGTTGGGAGCATGACACAGCATTACCTGAGTGAGGAGAAAAGCCAGAGTATCTGGCTAATAATATCTGAGCATGGGTATTTTGGTATTGTAAGGGCTGGAAAAAGCCCTACACTTCCTGGCATTAGATGCAGGGACACAATTCTATAGAAATAGCCAAGTAATAGACTCCTGTAGTATAGAGATTACATTACTAGATTTTAGAGTAACTGGGCAATCTTTAAAGTTTTTGTATGTTGCACCATATCTGAAAGAAGAGCCAAGAGTCTTGAGACATATTCCTTCCCAGAAAGCTCCTTCCTGCCCCCAACATCCTGGCTGGGTATATTTTGAAAAGATATGACCTGTTTGAAGCTCTCTAGCAGCATTTGGTAGAAAGATTACTTAAAATTATAATTTTCCAAATTTCTTAAGTCATTACTTCTGTGTATTCTGCTTGTAAGTCATAGCTAAAATATGAACAGTAAAAGCAAAACGTGTTAAATCTTAGTAACATTTCCTGACCCAAAGTAGCATGTTTCAAGTCTTTTTCTAGAAAGGAAGGAAGACAGGATATATCTTACTTTTGGGTGGTAAAATGGACACTCCATTTTCTTACAAGCTGGAAAAAACTTGCACAGCGGACTACTGGAAGGTATGGATAGTGTGGGCAGGGGTGCTAATAGTAGAAACAAAAAGAATAGGAAGTGAGTCTAGATCAGAATAAATTGCCTTTTTAAGACATCCCCGCACAACTTTAAATATATCAATCTTTCTGCTAGAAACTCCATTTTATAATACTCCAAAATTCAGCATGAAATATAGACAGCATTTCCCAATGCAGTTAGTAGATCCTGGAATAAAACAACACTATCAGGTAATCATTTAATTTGGTTCTTCGGCATTTCAGGACAGAAGTACCATGGTCAAGGCAAAACGTCCAACAAATTACAGAGATTCTGGTAGGCAGAGAATCTCAAATGTTAAATTTAGACAGCAGCAAGCCTGTTAAGAGTTTCCACTGACCGGACTGAGAAGCGCAGACACTGCGCTTTCCAGGAATACAGAGGAGCTGCTGGAAATGATATGGGAGACAAGCACATTGTACTTGGTGTCTGGCAAGGTAACAAAACTGCACTGAACTGTCACTAGGGGCTAAAAATTATTTCCAAAAGATCATACAGTAAAGGCCCTGCACCTCAGCATGGTTCAAAGGCTCAGCAACACCAACCCATATCAAACACAGCCACTGCCTTCACTGAGTAACCTCAACCTGTGAGTCACCTCATAACAACACCAGCTTCACTCCTACACTGGGATTACAGACAGAAATGTTCAAAGGCAGGAGCCTCTGTTTTCAGTGTGTTTCACCAGCCCTTGGTACAACATGTGCCCAATTTAAGAGAAAAATATCTGAGCAAAACTGCAGTGCTGGCTAATCCCTTCAGAGAAGGGACAGAGAAACAGACAACTTGTGCAAGTCACCTCTTTGGCCTTGCACAGCCTTCATATGGACTCTTGCATAAGAGCACTGGAGGATTTTTCTGGTAATAGTTTTTGCAGTAACACTGGATTATTATTCTTCATCTTGCATTAGGAGTTGTAAGAAAATTAAGTCAATTCAAGCAAAAAAATATTCATCACTGTCAGTTTCTGTTTCCAAAAATACAGTTGTTCCTTGAGCACTTTCATTTAAAGCTCAGAAAACAAGAAGATGTGCTCACCTGGTTTAGGAGATGGATGCGGAGTTCGTCGACTGGCATGAGTGTAAGGACAGTCTGGCTTAGTGCACTTTGCATCATATTTACAGTTTGGATGGATGAACAGACATTTATCAGCAAACTTGCAGTTAGGAAAAGCTCTGAGGGAACAGAAATTGAGTCAAAAGCTCATACTTGGAGCAAAATCCCCAAATATCTGTTGCACACAAAAATGAGAGTATCACAGAAAGCCAGAGGTGCAGCAGGGCTGGGGCAGATCCTGGTTCCCTCCCAAGTGGGGCACGCGCTGTAGTGCACGAGCTGTGCACCTGCACGCCTGCTCTCAGCTGCCCTTCCTGCAGACCCCTGCTCCATGCATCAACAACTGAACCACCTCACTCTCAGGGCAGTTTGGTCCCAAACTCCTTGGTGCAAGCTAGGACATGTCCCTCTTACTGTGTAGCACAGAGTGGCAAAGGCAATGTGAAATCAAACCTTCCCCAGAGAGGCGTGAAGTGTTCCCGAAGTTTTCTGTGAAGAGTTTTATTGTGAATTTAGCTACACTGGATTTTATAAGATAATTCAAATGTCCAAGTAACTGAAGTTACCCAATCTGCTAAGAGTTACCTCAAAACAGACAGTTTTCCTGGACTGTTCTGTTTATGAAAGAGAAGTCAAAGGCACAGTACACGTCCAGGAGTTCACCTTCTCTTTCAAATTTAAAACCCACAATCACTGCATTACTATGCAACAATAATCTAACCTTCAACAGCACTGTAACAGCTGGCAGAAGACAGCCTATTTTTTTAAGATGGTAATTCCTGCATCTTCAAGCAGTTCAGGAACACCAGCCTGTACTCTAAACTAAAACTTTCTTCTGCAAGGGTGCAGCAGCCATCCCTGTGTTCTGACACTTGGGAGGGGGTGGAAAACAGAAGGAATAACAGCGTGATAATCTAGCTCTGATCCTGCCCTGACAGGTTTGTGCTGCCTTGGAATATTTACTGACACTGAGCAGAAGTTTGCAGCACTGGAATGAAAACCCAAATAGCATGTCAAGTGAATGAGCTCTGTACTACTCACTTGCAAGGCAATGTGGGATGATGGTACACACATTCATCTCCATTTTTACAGGCAGGCCAGTACTTGCAGCGCTCCAGCACCTTCTCCTGTTTTTGTAGAATACTTAAGTCTTCTATTTCCACTGGATGGTAAGAAAGAAGGAAAAAAAATAACCCCAAGCTGGGACCTTTATGATGCTACATGCTACTTGGTGTAAACAATCAGCATAATCAAAATTCACTGTACTTCTATTCTCTCAGTAAAAGTTTATGTATGTCATCTTTTCTGAAGAAAATTTCCAAAACAATAAAGTAGAAAGTCATAATACTGAACTGACAGCTGCCTTTTGGCAGTTTGATCATAAAAGATAAATCTGCACTGTTTACAAGCAAAATAAATCAGTTTTCTTTTTCAATCTGAATTGATTTAAAGACTTGGAGAGACAAGACAATGATTCCAACTGATCCTGACTTATGACTGTTCTGCTGAGCCATGAGTTAATTACCACCATATCTCCTTTCTCCAAGATATTTTTTGCTCTAGAAAATTATTTCAAGAGATGAAAGTTAAAAATCCATTTTTATGATGATCAGATTTATTATTATGGAAGCATATCCTGAAAAAGAACCACTTGTATGTAATTTGTTCAGACACTTCTGCTACCTGAATTCAGACTCTAATCCAAAAAGTATTTTAAGCAATTCAAAGCTGAAACATTCCATACCTTCACTACCCTTATGGGAACATGGGACTTGGACTTTCTCCTATTTAACATTGCTTATAAAACCTTAGTTTCCAAATCCAGACAATTGTACATATATTGCTGTTGTCTTATTTTCTCAAAACTGCCTAAACCTTTGGCCTTTCAAAGTTTTCTAGCAATGCCTAAACTTCCCTCTCTGATCCTACTAATGACACAAATTGCTCCAGCTTCATTCCATCCTTAGCCTCATTTATGCCTTCTCCTTGCAACCCACCAAAGCCATATAATGCCATCCTGTTGTAGGACCACACTGGCTGGTACAGATCACTTCCACATAGATCTGATTGTGTGTGAGCTTCAGTCCCACCCCTGCTACTTCACAGGAATCCTTAATAGAGCTGGGACTGTACTGGCAACACTCTCCTCTACCAAACAGCTTTGGTGAGGAGTCTGAGGCTACACATGGCAAAGCATGGATTTGCAAGGAACTACTCTAACAACTGTCTCTCTGTGCTAGTAAAGTGCATGGATACACAACATTCCCTTAATTTTTAAGACTGCCAGATATGTGCAGTATTTCTGCAGTCAGGGAACTGAAAGAACATGGACTAAAAGATCTATTGCTGAGGTGCTCTCATGATTGCATAACACATTTACAGCTGGATCCATGCAAATTAAATGTTTTCAGTACAGCATCAAATAGTATTCTTAATTCAGTTCAGCAATTTGAATACACTGCTACTAAAGAAAATAAAGATCCTTATTTTCTTAAGAAAATTAAGTAAAAAAACATTAATCCAAGCACAGCCCTCAAGCATGTATTCAACAGGCTTAGGACAAAACAGTAACCTCTGTGTTTTTCACCACATCAGCATTCTAAGCAATTCAAACGTGGTTCAGCAAGGAATTTCCCATATAATTCAAAAGAAATATAGAAAGAGAATATAGAAACCTTCATGTAAAATCACACACTGTTAAGTTCTAATTTCAGGTACTAGCCACTGGACTCTACCAATACCTAACACTAACAGACTCCTTTCTGGTGTCACAACCCTCAACAGACATTAATAC